GCCCGCTTGGGGGGGTCCGCGCGCTCCTCCGCGACCCCAACGACGACCAGCGCTTCGGGGTGGAGTTCCGCGAGCCCTACGCGGTGCGGTTTTACCGCTGCCCCCGGCGAGATCCCCTTCTCGCGCACCTGCTCGATGCCTGTCGGGAGGCGGGAAACGCAGGGGTGAGCGTCGTCCGGCGGGGGGTGGATCGCGGCCGCCGCGTCTGCGCCCCACGCGCCGTCGTCGCGGAGGAAATCGAGCGAACGCTGCTTTCCTGCCTGATCGAGCCCGGGCGCTTCGACAGCTCGGGCTCCGCGCTCCTCACCACGATGGAGTTCTTCAACGCCAATATAGACGCCAACGGCCTCGGCTGGAGCGAAAATAAAGACGGGCTGTTTAGCGAAAACCGGGAGAAGCTCATTTCCCAGGCGACCAAAGCGCTGCTCGGGAATTTTCCCGACACCCGCGACCCGGTCGTGTTGGAGCACCGGTTCGCGGCGCTTCGGCGGCTCACCATATCCCGAGCTGGTTTCAGCGTGATCGCCGTCGTGCCCGCTCTGGCGACGAAGGTGGAGGAGAGCGTCGAGGACGCCCTCGGGCTGCAGGAAATCGGCCTCACGCACACCGTCCTCGAGTTTTTGAACACCCTGATGACGCCCCATCACAATCATTACGAGGTGAAGCACGAGATAATCAACAAAAATCGTATTGCGAGTTCCGAAAGCTTTCTGGACCGGCTTATCCTGTTACTGCAAACGGGTATCCGTAGTGAGGGTTCTTCTCTGGTGGTGCTCAGTATTTTGAACTTTTTCGAGTATCTGCTTTGCCCGCCCTACAGTGAAACAACCGATCCGAGAGACTTTGAAGTGGGTATGAGAAAGATGGTGCGGCTCGTCGGTAAGGGTCTATTCCAACTTCTCGCTCATCCGTGTGATGCGATTCGCTACGCCGCCGGGCGGCTTATTCGGGTGAGCATGGAGGAAGGCACGGATGAGGATTTCAGGTTTATGCAGCAGGCTTCTCTCTCAGAGGGCGGGTTTTTGCATCAGTTTAACGTCGCCATCTTCAGTGAGAACCGTCGATCGCGCGACCTCGCGCGGCGCTTGTTAGCCTACTGGACCTTTGGAAATACGCCCATGCAGGATCTGCTGCGTAGGATGATTCCGGTTACCTTACTCCGTTTCTTGCAGTCGTCTGAGGAGCCCCCACCCGATGAGATGGAGTCCGAACCGCAAAAGGGGGTCCAGCCAATGACGGATGCCTACCGTGATTCTAAAAGTGGGTTCTTTCGACGGTCTTTTTACCCCTTAAAAGCTCCGCAAACCTTCCACAACGGAGGGGGGGGCCGGAGTGAGGGGAATGCGCCCAATAACGTCGACGGCACCGGAAATGAAGCAGAAAGCCAAATGCGCCTGCGTCCTCGAATTGTAAGGCCGAGCACAGGGCTCAACTGGACGTTATTCTTTTACCAAATCAAGCAAAACCACATGCGCCCGGATCTCATTTGGAACCAAACGACGCGAAACGAGCTTAAAAATGCGATTGAAGCCGAATTAGCAGCCTTTTGTGCCGGTCAGAATTTTCGAAGTGATCGGTCGGTGGCATGGAATCACCAAGAGTTCGAGGTGGTTTACCACTCGCTTGCGGAGGAAATAAAAATAGGCCAGCACTACCCTCGTTTGCTCTTTGAGAACTCGAACCCGGTTATCGCGCGTCCAAGGGAGTTCTTTGATGATCTTTACCACCACTTCCTGCTTACGGAGAAGCTCCCAGAAAAACTGGAGGCCCTCCACGGTATGGCACAGCTGTACAAACTTGACGCGATGACGATTGGGGAGCTCCGGGATCTCTCTCACTTCGTGCGCATGAGCCGCTCCACGACGTCGCCGTTATTCCGCGACCGTCTGCTTCTTTTCTTCCGTGAGGCCCTCAAGGCGAGGCATAACGTGAAGCTCTTCCTCGACGCGGAGGGTTTGGAGGCGCTCGTGGAGCTGGTCACCTTGGCGCATCTGCATACCGACCGGCCGCAGCTGCGCGTCGCGACCAACGCGATTGAGCCCGGCCACCCCTCTGAAGCCTCGCGAGAGGGGGAGGGGGAGAAGGAGTGGTTCTACGAGAAGAACGGCGCGAAATCAGCGCCGGTGTCGTTTATTCAACTCAAAGAATTGTACACCGCAGGTGAAATCCAGGATTCGGTGAGGGTGTGGGCACAGGGGATGTCGGGGTGGAGGCAGTTTCGTGATGTGCCTCAGCTGCGCTGGGGGGTGGTGTGCGCGAACATGCCGTCCATCCTCAGTTATACCGCGGTCACATGCACCATCCTGGATATTCTTCAGTACATTTGTGATCAGTATCCTTCTCGCAATTCAAGCGGTGCCGTCATGCAACCGCTGCCCAAGGTGAAGCGCTACCTTAGCAGTCCGACCGTCTTACCGCATATTGTTCAGTTGTTGCTTACCTTTGACTCCGCTGTCTGTGGACGGGTAAACACGCTTCTTTACAGTATCATGGAGGATAACCCTCTCATGGGGCGTCTTTTTTTCACGGGGTACTACTATTTCTCATTGATTTACACCGCCTCCGATGTGCTTCCGCTTTCCCGCATGCTGCACATGACGCATCAGCACCAATCTCTCGTATATCATTCAAACAGCGACGCGACGAAACGGAAGAGCGCGCTCGCACCGCTGCTGCCCCCAGCAATGGTGTGCTTTCTAGTAAACCACGGACCCGAGCGGTTTGCTGAGGTCTTTCTGGGCGAATACGATACCCCTGAAATTATCTGGGGAGGGGGCATGCGCCTCCATCTGGGGGGTAAAATCGCGGCTCATCTCGCCGACTTCCTTCCACGGCTTCTGTCTAACAACACCCTGCCCTATCAGTACTGCCCTATTGGTAGCATCACGTATGAGGAGCTGCGGCAGGAGTTGTTCTGCACCGATTACTACCTGCGTCATTTGTGCGATACGGTGCGGTATCCGAACTGGCCTATCCGCGACGCCGTTTCCTTTTTGGCCGACCTGCTGTCGGCTTGGCGGGATGAGCTCAACAAGGAGCCGTGTGGCCTCTCGTGGGAGGGCTGCCTGAAAACGTTGGAGCTGGAGTGGTCGGACGAGGCGGCAACGCCGCAGAGGATTCGAAAGGCCTACTTTGAGCTAGCCACGCGCTACCACCCTGACAAGAACCCAGAGGGTCGGGAGCGATTTCAAGCAATCCACGAAGCCTATACGTTTCTGATGAGTGATACTGTGCAGCCTGAGGGGCCTGATCTGCAAAATATCTACCTTATTTTACAATCCCAGTGCATTTTATTCAAGCGCTGCGCCGAGGTGCTAAAAGCGTACAAATACGCCGGGTATGAGATGCTGTTTAAGCTTCTTCGCAGTGAGCTGGCCGATCACGAGATGCTGCGGAAGCAAGTGCTTCTTGTCCTACCCGCGACGGAGCTTTGCCACCTCACCGTCGAGAACGTTCCGCTTAACGCGGATGAGCTGCAGGCGGAAGGCGGCATTCAGTTGCTCGGCGAGGTCGCATCCCGTTGCTTTGACCTCATCACCCCAAACTCCGCGGCGGACGCGATCCACGTGAGGGTAGCTGTGCACTGCATGTGGACCTTCGCGGCGGTCGCACGATTTTCGGACTGCCAGCGGAAGCTCCGTGAGCTTCCAGCGATCCCCAAACTCACCGCTAAAGGGGTGGCGTACGAGAACGCGCTCGAGCTTTCACGTGCATGCATTCAAGCCTGTGAGGCGCAGTGCCTGGATCTGGAGCTGCAGTTGCGGTTGATCGATGCGGGGGTGGTGTGGCATCTGTTGAGGGCCCTGCTGCGTTACGACCCGACGCTGGAGAGCGCAGGGGTGGAGCTGGAAGAGTCTCATCACATTCAGCTTTCTCGGAATTACGTGGCGGTGTTCGCGATGAGGGCGTTGTGCGCCCTCGCAGGGTTCGCGCCGGATTCCACCCGCCCCGCCACGCAGCCCAATGAGGCGGTGCGGTGCCTCTTGAAGCGGCTGTTGACGCCCTATCTCCTCCACATGATCGCCACCACGCCTGGTCGTGAGACCGAAGTGCTTGGTCGTCTGAATGGCGATTCTGAGACTCCCCACTTCTACTGGAATCATACCTGTCGCGCCGAGCTCGAGGAGTTGCTGGAGATGAACTCCAGTCGATGTCTCAAAGGGGAAATGACAGGAGATGAAGGGATGGCCTTGTTGTGCGCTGGGGACTTTTCCTATACACTGCACCAAAATGAGGTCTCCGTCGGAGGGGTCTTTCTGCGCTTGTACAAAGCTCAACCGGACTTCCGCATCGAGGACCCTGTGGTCTTCTTCTCGGCACTTATCGAGGACCTAGAGGCTTGCCCACCCAACACTACCTCGGCATCACGTGTTGCGCTCGTCGTGACGTCGCTTAAACATCTCGTCCGTAGCCACTTTCACGAGCTTGAAGGTCTTGCGGCGCAGCATGCCGCCACACTGGTCGAACTGCTCGATGCTTCGTCTCCTAGCGAGATGCTGATACCAGCCTTGAATCTTCTTGAGCACTTAATAGATTCAGAAAGCTTCGCCGAGTCGATCTGTAAGGTGCGTTTAGCGATATCCAGATTGACGATCCTTCTGGGAAGCCCGTCCGGGGTTGAGGTTCACAAATCCTCTTTGCAACTCCTTATGCGACTCCTTGCGTATCGGCCGATGGTCCAAGACGTCCTAGATCGCGGGATGCATCTGATTCTTTTACTTCTTTACGCGTCTGGCGACACTAAAGAAATAAAAGAGATGAGCTGCGTCTGCCTTGCAAAAGCCCTTTGCGATAAACTAATTGGGCCGAAGCTCTACCTGAGCTGCACGCAGTACCTCCCACATATTTTTCTAGATATCGTCAAGGAAGGCAACCCCGCGCACGCGTGCGCCGTCCTAGAGGCACGAGAGCAGAGCCCGGAGCTTATCTGGAGCGAGGATCGGCGAGAACGATTGGTGCAGCAGACGTCGGTGTGTCGAGATGCCATCGTGTGTGCGCTTGTTGAGGACCCTCTACAAAAGTGGAGTCCCACACAGGAGTTGGATGCCATGGAGGGAGCGCCGGTGGGTGAGATTCAGGTAGGTGGGGTATTTCTTTCGCTCTACGTACAGAGCCCAATGTGGCAAGTCCGCAAGCCCAAAGAATTTCTGCTAGCACTTCTGGAACGGTACGTCGCGGTCTGTCAACGGGTGCAGGGGGCCTCCGATCTTTCGCCGGCCGATGTGCATCTACTCGACTTGCTCACGCAATCCGGCGTGCTTCTCCTCAGCTCTTCTAACGAGCTGAAGGACTACAGCTCGAGCTTGGGGTACACGCACAAGTTGGTGTCGTTTTTGACCTCCCCCAATGAGGCCGTGGCGACATCAGCCCTTCGTTGGCTGAACGAGATGTGGACGTCGACGTTGTGTGTGGAAGCGACCATGCCAGTTGACGCAATCGGGCCGCTGCTCAAGTGCAACGCTCAGCACCCTGTTGCGGAGCCGCTGTTTTTCGATACCCTCGCAAGGTTCATCACCTCCTCGACGCCGCGCGTCGGCGTCCTCGCACTGGCAGCGCGGTACAGTTTGTTGCGAATGCTGCTGCAGCGACTCGAGAACAGCACGACAGTAGGGGAGGCGCTGCGGGAACCCCCGTCGGCCACTCGCGCGCGCATCATCAAGGTCATCAAGGCGATGGTGAACCTCCGTGATCCGACCCATGGCAAGGATCTTGAGAGTCTGCTGCGGAAGAGCTCCGTTTGGGAGAAGTACAAGGATCAAAGTCATGATCTCTTTTTACTCCACGCGCAGCCAGACGGCATGGGGGGACGCCTGATTGGCGCCCCCACTCGGGCGGCGCGGTCGTCCTCCGACCTTCGCGCTGCAGGCGAAATGCTTGCCCTGACCTTTCCTGCGCATTCGCAGATGAACTCCACGACAGAGCCACCACCTCTTCATGACGATCAACAGGACACCAACACATCAGCAGAGGCAGAAAAAAATATAAAGACTGTCCTGGGAATAGGCTGACATGAATATCTTCATGCTTTTTTCCTTTGCTGTTCTTCATCAATCAACTGAAAGAGGACTGATTTTGCTTTACTGTTACATAGTCGCTTGATATTCTGAAATTGGTAAGATTTTCCTTGCTCTTCAGGATCGAGCGATCTTCTTTTTTGGTGCTTCACCCTCTTGTCCTACGCCCCACTTTTTTCCCCTGACACCTCTTTTCCTTGAGAAAAATTTCTTTTTGCTTTAGTCTACACCTTCACGCACAATCCGAAGACGCCAAGACCTTTTAGCAGTAAGAAAAAACTAAACTTTTCCATTTTCCCAAGCTTATTTTCTCATTCCACGGTACCTGCTATGGAGGACCTTTCTGCTGCGACACCTATGTACAACGAGCCCACCGTCGACTACACGGGCAGCCCACGCCGCCGCGTGCAGCGGATCGACACCACGAAGCTCAAGACGAAGGTCTGTCGCAACTACGCTCACGGCCTGCCCTGTCCGTTCGAGCATCGTTGTGCCTTCTCCCACGGTGAAACCGCGATCCACTCGCCTACCACCGGGGAAGCCGAGGCCTTCAGCCCGAACCATGGCCGTAAGGCCAGCTTGACCACGCGCGAGGAGGACGGCTGCGCGCCGACGGCGACCGCAATGCGGCGGGTCGAGTCAGGCGGCACCGAGCTCGACGTGGCCTCAAGCGATGTGAACTCGGACTCCATCAGCCTCCCACCGCCGCCACCTGCGTACGAGATCGCGATCCAGGAGGACTTGGCTGCCATGGTCGATGAGAGCTCTCTGCCTCCGGCCTACCCGACTCGGTACCGCTTCGACCCCTATAGCTATTCCAGCGTTCGGTACGAGTAGAAAAGTTTAAAAGGAGGAATCAAAGGAAAAAGAAGGAACTCACGATATTTGAAAGGTTTTAGAGCTCAAAATTTCTTGTTTTCTTTTTCTTCTTAATGAAGGTAGGGCTTGAAAAGATATTAGCACGCAGGCGTAAATTTATACGCATATATTTACATAAATGTATATAAATCTATACGCATCTCCTGTGGCATATCTTTTCCCCCTGTTTTCTTTCATTTTTTCCTATTATAACTTTTATTACCTTAATTGGGCTTTCTTACTCTATTATATTTTTTATTCCGGCGGTTCAATACAGGTGTTTTGTTTACAATTCTGCTTGTGTCTTTTTTTTGTTTTGGGAGGTTTTATTGTGTTGTATTAGTTTTTTTTAGCCGGTGTGAGTGTCTATTGTGTTTTTTTTTCCCAGCTTTTTATTGCTTGTTTTTTTTAAATGCTGTCGAAATTTGGTCTTGAAAAAACATACTTGAGAGTCGTGGTAAGATGCAAATAATTTGAAAACGTCTCGAAAGTGAGAAGAAAAGTGATGGAGTAAACGGGAGTTCTTTAGGAAAATTTAAAGGTGTCTTTGAAAGCCGTCGGTAGTGTATTTTGATGTATATGTGAAGCCTTTTTACTTTCTTAAGTATTGTATTATTTTATTCCTTTTGTTTTTACTTCAGTTTAAGTCTACGCTTTGTATAAGACATTTTCTCTTCTTTTGGATGGTTTTCATATTTTGTCCGTAAAGAACTTCATACAAATCTACCCTTTTCATGTATGTTGTAGAGGCGTGTGCATCTATATACCTTTTTACGTACCTTGCTGCATGAGCGCGTTTTGGGTGCTGAGATGGGATATAACCTTTTTCAATACAAAAAAGGTGGCTAGCAATATCTTTAAGTTAAAAATATATTTTGTGTAGTTATGAGGGAAAAAGTTAAACATGTTCAAGTCGAAAAGCTTAAAACCACCGTAAAACTGTTTTCTCACTCTTCTTTATTTCTTAACATCGTGTCAGGGCTGGAAGGATTCATTTTCGTCACTGTATTTGCGAATATTGTGAAAGAGAGAAAGAATTACGGAGGGAGTTGGGTGCAGTTTTTTTCGGGTAGGAAAATAGTAGAGAGAAATATAATACATCTTTTAAAATAGTGTGGGGGTAAACAGAATAATTAGGTCAAAGAAATAGTGAAATTAATTCGGAAAAAGTCGTTTCCTATTTTATTATTATGAAAATATATGGATTATTTTTCCTAAATCTTTTTTTTATTAATGTAGGTAAAGTGAATTGGATTATACCTAAAGAAAGGGAAATGTATTATGGAAAAAAAGGAAACGAATTTGAATCACTGCTCAAACATTCTCCAATGCAAATAGATGCAGGAAAGGAAGAGAAAGGACTCAAATCTTGCTGCTCAATACGGTGAATGAGCACGCGGGGTTCTATATTCGATCTTTCATCAAAACTTACAGCATAACTACTACTCTTTTGGGGGATCGATTTCATATTATTACGATGATTATTAGTAGTTATGAAAGGCAGATTGAGAATTTTACACCCTAAACTATTTCGTTTAACACGTTTTCCACTTTCTTTTTTATTAATTCATCATTTCATTTTCCCTACTTCCCGCTTTCCTTTATATTTCATTAATTTTTTTCAAATTTTTTAAGGTTGACCAATTTTTGTAGCAGTGAGAAAAATAGTTTTGTTTTGGCATTTGATGTGTATGGGCATCTTGTTATTCCACTTAAATAATTTTTAGTCGGCATCTTTCTTTTTTTTTTCTCTCTCTCTTCTTCTTCTTAATTCCAGTAGATATTGATCAAAATAGGGTGCTGCCAAATACCCATGAGATCTATCGGCATAATTAGGTTTTATAAAAGAATCTGCTTAAGTACAGCGAGATAATCCCACAGCAAAAGGATGCAGCAACGATCAAATGAGATCCTTCTCATCGTGTAGTTCAATCGAACAATGAACAGGGCATATCTTTAACCAATGCGGTCGACACCCCTTCACAGCTTCCATGAACTCAACGATAACATATCGACGGCATAAAGTAGTTTAGTGCAGTACTTTCCTAAATGAGGGACACCGAGTGGGAGGGAAGGGTAAGAAAGACCGTGTCTCATCTGCATGTACGGCACCGAACGACGTTACCGACGCTGTGAGAGTGCGCATAGTGCAACTCCCCTCCGAACCTTGGATTAAAAAAAGAACATCAGGATGAGGATGCTGTGCACATGCTTCAGGTGTGTTTTAAGAGATGATCCTTTTCAGGCTGTGCTTTTGCAAGGGTTTGGTGGCGCTCTGCGTATGCTGTTGCTAGGAAGGCAGCGGCACCGCCAGAGTGCCGTGACGCTGCGGTCCTGCTGAGCCTGTCTCCTTCCTTTCGAAGTGTCTGTGCGTGCGTCTTGCCTTCACTGGATCTCACCTAAAGCAAAGATGCTGTGAAGCGGTGACGTAATGTTTGCATCCTAAGCCCTCCACCCCAATCCTATTGGGGGAAGGTTCTTATCATGTAAACGCGAAAATAATTACACCACATCTAATGTCAGTGCCTGTTGGAAGCATGCTGTCGTGCCATACGCTCAAGAGTAATCCGCATTTCTGAGGATTGAACAAAGTGGGTAGATTTAATACCTCCACCAAACACGAAATCGCAAGGTTATCCGCCTTAGGATCTTAGTGATGATCCTGTTGTTACAAGAGGTAGCCTTGGTGAAACTTTTTTCCCTCCTTACTTGGTCTTAATATTCTGACTTCTGTGACTTTTGGATCACTTTTACTGTTTTTCAACTATTCTTTACTCTTGTTAATATGGTTGGAAGCACAACCAGACGTTTATGAAGCAATGCTATAAAAATTACTCTTCAAGATGAAGTACTTTTTCCCCTTTTTTATTGGTTACATATTTCGAGAAAGCTGTTCTCTTTTGTTTTTCTTTGGTTTTCCCTTCGGTGTTTCAGTCTCAAACGTTGCGTTTGATCCGTATTTATGATGTCATTTTTTGTGTGTTTTGCAGCGACTTTGTGTAGTCTCGCAGGCTTAAAATCTTATTCCAATCGGGTAATTTTCGTTCAGAAGTTTTATTCCCGAGTTTTTGTCACTTTCCTTCTTTAGAAAGGGTTTCATCAAAAGCTTTTTAATTTAAAGAGCCCATTTATCCTTTGTTATTTACAAATACATATTGACTAATTAAGTTTGTAAGTATAGGAAAACACTGCGAATAGCTTCGCGAATTATACTTCTAAATAAAACAAAAACATACGATACCTAATCCCATGACGAGTCTTCAAAATCTATTCGTAGCTAAGCTGCCACGAAATGTTACCGATGCAGAGCTCGAGAAGATATTTGAGTCGTACAAACCCAAAAGTGCAAAAGTGATGCTCGACGCGGCGACGGGTAAGAGCAAGGGCTTTGGCTTCGTTCTCTTTGACTCTGAAGAAGAAGGCGAGCTGGCTTTTAAGGAGCTCAACAAGACCCACGTCACGCTGTTTGGGCACAGCTTTAACCTATGCATCTTCCCCTCCAAGCACGATGGCAAGGTGGCAAAGGAGGTCAGCAACGCGCTGTATATCCGAAACGTCCCACGTCGCCTCTCGCAGGCGGAGGTGGAGGGCTTCCTGCGCACCTTCGGTAATCTGATCTACTGTGCCATGCGCGAGGACCACTACGGCAGCCCGGTGTGGGTTGTCTACGCGGAGTACGAAACCATCGAGGATGCCAAGAATGCTCTTAACAAGCTCCACGGCAACAGTACCTACTTCTTGGGCTCCGCCGCCCTACTGGCGAAGTTCGAAGATAGTGAGGGCGTCAAGCGGGAGCGACGACACCGTCGCCGGGAGGGCGTAGGGGCGTACCACAACCTCCCCAGCAGCGGGGTGATCTTCCCCCCACGACGCGGCACCGGCGGCGCGGCGGATCCGCGTGGGTCGGCCCCGCTGGACACCGCCTCCGGTGTCTTCCCGAGCTTTCAGCTGGCGCCCTCGGTGGAGAACAGCTCTTCCTCTCCCTCCCTCTACCTTGGAAATCAGGAGATGGGGACGTCGAGCACACCCGGGACGGATGTGCTCGCGCCGCCGCCCTACACAAGCCAGCCGCACGGCCCCGCGACCCCCGCCGCCTTGCCGGACTACCCCCCGCTGCAGGGCTTCGTGGCCCCCTCGCCGGAGTACTGCTGCGTCCTCCTCGAGGGCGGGCAGCGTGTGTACCTCCCGTCCTCCTCCGTCAGCCCGAGCACCCCGTCGGTGATGAACTTCGTGCCGCTGCAGCAGCTCTCCCCCCTCCTCAGCGGAGGCTTCGGCGCCCACAACGTCACGGGCTTCCCCCTGCTCGGCTACGACGCCGCGAACACGCTCGTCCTCGCGAACGGCCAGGAGCCGCTGGTGTTGAGTCCGGACGGGCTGGGGCTGACCTCACCCCCCAGCGCGGGGCTGACGACATACTGCCCGGGCTACGACACAGGGGGGGGGAGCCCTCTTCAATGCGCCGGTTTACCTCTCCCCAATGACCAACTCGCCGCCACCCGTTGGGTGCAGTCGCCATTCGATCCCCTTAGTTACAATATGAGGTGAGGAGGAGGAGGGGGGTGGAGAGGAATCGGACCGCATCTATGACAGACTGTTCTCTTACCTCAAAGAAAATGTATTGGTGCGTCTCGCCGCAGTGAATTTGGAACGGATAAAAGATAAGGAAGTGCTAAGGGGTTGCTCAGGGGAGGAAAGGTATAGTTTTTCATTATGACATATAACGGTAAGTAAAATTCTTAAGAAGATGGATCCCCTGCATGTCATCAATTTAATACAAACGAATAACACATTTTTTGTATCTTTTATTCGTTTTTCTTTTATCCGTTTCTCCGTCATGTAAGTTCTTCGCAGGCGCGTGTTGCTTCATGCACGATTTCAGATTCAAATAGGGCTATGAAATAGGAAATAATATTATATAATACTTTAAATACACCTTCAAATAACAATGGAAGCTGAAAAGGTTCTTTCTCGCTCCCTCCCTCTTTGAGGGTTATCACTTTCACCATTTTTTTCTCGTGAATCATTCTTAATCAGAAATAGTGATTTTGTTTAATCGATTAAACACTTAAAAAAATGATAATTTATCTGAATAAGTGTCTATTTTACTAAATCAATATGGCGTCTCTATAATTTTTGCATAGCATTTTAGAATCTTGTCGTGAGTAACGGATTTAATACTTTATTATCACTAATTATTGCTCTAGCATGCTTGGATGCAAAAAATTGTATTTTACTAGTATTTCTTATTTTTTTCAAATGTTTTTATTTTCACTTGTCGCAGTGCTGTTGGCATTGATTATGCAATCCTTTTTGTACGTGTCTATGTTTGTATATTACAGATTTAATACAGCTGTGGGTACTGAGTGCATCTGAAAGGCACACGAAAGGGTAACTATTTTTACTGGCGCCATGCGGATGGTTATTAGAAAAGCTCAACGGCCAAGGAAGTCTAGTGCCGAACGGTTGGATGTCAATGTAGCTTTCTGAGATCGACAGCCTTTGTGGATTTATTTACTCTTTCGTTTTGTCGTTTCTCAGTTTGAGAGGTGTTTCTCGCTGTATACCTTACTATGAGGAGCTCCGTAGCTTTAGATTCGATGTAATTCAAATTAAGGGTAGAGAAACTTTTTTTGAGGGCTGGTATAGTGTGGTGAATGTATTTCTTGAAGTATTCCCTCTTTTTTAGTCAATATTCCCCTCAGTATGTCCAGCAGGTGTTAATATTTAAGTAATAAAAACTCGTCCAAGAAATAGTTAATGAAGAACCTTTCCCAGTTAAAATTTACAAATCTGTTTAAGCCGTCTACAAGACCAGATGCTGAATTAATTTATAAGGTGGGAAGAACTAGAAGCATTTGGCCTTGAAGAAATTGATGTGCATTGGTTTGATGTTTCGAAATTTAGTGAATATTGCGCTCTCTTTCTCCATGACTTGTGCATTTTTGGTCCATGTGCAGCATTTATCAAATTACATAACACAAGTTGTTAATAAGTATTCGTTTAATTGTATACAGATATATTTATATACATTTTGTTTTAGATTATACTTTAGCTATGAGTTTCTTTTCCCTCGCGAGTTTTTTTTATGATTTCAAGACCTACAGTTGAACTATTATTTGACACTCTGTTTTATGTTTGCACTCTTAACAAGGCGCTGAACTAATTTGTTAATGTTTTTAATCAACCTTAAATAGGGGAAATGTTAAGGTGTTTTATCGTGTTATATGCATATACTAGTAAACGCTGAGGTCTGGATATTTAACGCGGGGTTTGTATGCTTTGTAAAAAAAAAATACCCCCCAAAAGGTGTCAATAATGACATCCAAAAGAGAAAAGCGGAAAGTAGCATGCTATTCCTTTTCCACAATTAGTTTCTTTTATTTGATAACGGCTTTGTTCATTTTCATTAAGCTACTATGTTGCTGCGATTCTATTCATCATTTTCACATTTCTTTAAACCACCTTTTTAGGAAATAAGCCGTTTTCCCGCTGCTAGTGTTCTACATGAACTCCAAAAACATTTCGATATTTTTTTCGGAACAAAAGAAGCAATTTTTATCTTTGCTTGAGTTATACATTGCATGTTTCATAAATGCGGCAAATAATTGTTACCACATTTTTTATTTTATTATGTTTATCTTTCCCCTCTCTCCCCACTTCCCCCTCCCCCCCCTCTCCCCAATTACATTTTGGTTTTTAGCTTCACCTTAACTTTTCATACTCGTAGCCTCTACGTGTATACAGCGCTGCTGCCAGGATCGTGCTCCGATCCTCAGCTTATTCATCAGAACCTAAAACATTTATTTAGAAAGGGTATAAAATGGGCATTTATGGGGGTAGGGGCTGGTGTGCTGGTAATGTGGAGGGTTCTATAGACTTTTGTTTGCAAAAGAAAGGAGGAAAAGCGAGAAAAATATCTACTGTTCCTAATCGTGTATGGAATTAGGTAGGAAAATATATAGTCCGATGAAGGGTATTGCAATACTCTTTGGTAATATTCTTTTTTTCTTTCTGACATATTTGTGTTCAAATTTTCAGTGAAGTGAGCCAAGTTACCTTGTACTTGGTAGATTAACGTCTTTTGCAAAAGAGAAATTTATAAATATAAGTCAAAATAAATATTATAATGTGTATCAAATGCTTGAGCACATCGGAAAGTTGAGAAAATAACAATTTCTATATGAATGAGAAGAATCCCAAAAGTGTCATGTGAGATAATATGTAGTGAAAATTTTATTTACATACCCATCAATAACAATAACGAAGTATAAACATTTAAAAAGATTCCCACAAGCTCTAACACATTAGATATTTAATCAACCTTAATTTAATCCCATTTATTCTAAACTCCTCCTCTTCTTAGTGTGTTGAGGACTATGTGCGGTAAGAATATTATTGATTCATTGAATTCAACATAAGTCTGATTCCTTTTTTCTTAGAAATTGTTTTTCCTTTCGCAGAAAGCTCTTTACAATTTGTTTCTAAATTGAAAGTAAGCCTTTCTTTTATTGATTCACAGTGCATGAAAAAATCATCCATCTCACAAAAACGCTTGTTAATATTTTAGCTCTCTAAAAAATAATATTGTCTAATTACACCTCAAAAAAGCTAAATTGTAAACATACAAACGCTTGGGTCCTCCAACGAATCAATAATATAGAAATGACGAGTCTTCAAAATCTATTCGTAGCTAAGCTGCCACGAAATGTTACCGATGCAGAGCTCGAGAAGATATTTGAGTCGTACAAACCCAAAAGTGCAAAAGTGATGCTCGACGCGGCGACGGGTAAGAGCAAGGGCTTTGGCTTCGTTCTCTTTGACTCTGAAGAAGAAGGCGAGCTGGCTTTTAAGGAGCTCAACAAGACCCACGTCACGCTGTTTGGGCACAGCTTTAACCTATGCATCTTCCCCTCCAAGCACGATGGCAAGGTGGCAAAGGAGGTCAGCAACGCGCTGTATATCCGAAACATCCCACGTCGCCTCTCGCAGGCGGAGGTGGAGGGCTTCCTGCGCACCTTCGGTAATCTGATCTACTGTGCCATGCGCGAGGACCACTACGGCAGCCCGGTGTGGGTTGTCTACGCGGAGTACGAAACCATCGAGGATGCCAAGAATGCTCTTAACAAGCTCCACGGCAACAGTACCTACTTCTTGGGCTCCGCCGCCCTACTGGCGAAGTATGCCGATTCAGAGGAAACCAAACGAGAGCGTCGTCGGCGCCGCCGCGAGCAGCACCAGTTGGTGCTCAAAAATCACATCACCAATAGCTACAGCCCAATGCCGAGCGCCCACCTGGGACCGAAGCCCTCCCATAGCATAAGCCAGGTCTTCTCGACGGTGACCGAGGAGGAGCCGCTGGTGGTTGACCACCTCATCGACGTCCCCTTCTTGCAGCGCTACTCCTCCTTCGGGGCGCCGGCGCCAGGCACGCGCG